CATTCTTAGATTTGTGACTTGGTATGACTATTTCAGAGTTTGGTAAATTGCTTCTTAAGGCTATTTCTAAGGCTTTGTATATACAAGAGTGTCTTAATTATTTAAAAAAAGTAATTATATCATGAAAGATGATTTTGACTTCTTCAGTGAGACAAAGTAAAAGAGTCTTCACAGAGACAGGAAGCTCATTACAGGGTGCTGAATTTGTCCGGGTGAGAAATGGCAGGTTTTCAAATAAGGCAGTGTGCGAAGGTTGGATGGACAAGAGGAAACATTTGTTTTATAATTTTTATACCTTATTTTAAGTTAAATTCAAGATGTTTATTTTTATTTACAATGTTTAAAAATCAAATAAAATTTACTTGTTATTAATCTTACCCACATAAATCTAATGATCATCAATGAAAAGTGTATTATGCATCTGTGGAACTGCCCTGATATCAATGGTGTTTATAAGAGAATGTAAATGACATGGCTGTTAGCCATAAAGACTTTATAATTGAGAAACATGAAAGACAAGAGAATACACAGCAAACAGAACACCCATGGGGTTACATACCTGTAAGAGGGAAAGGACTGATAATTATATGTTTAAGTTTTATCCATCCATGCCTTGGTTTAAACCAAATGAAGATGTAATCAAGGTAATACAGGAGGAATATAATTTTCTTGTCATGGTATTTAGAGCCGACTAGCTAAACATGTGAGAAGCAAGGGCTGATAAAAACAAGGCTATTAGAGTGTTCTGAATGTGAATCATAAGAAAATGGACAGAGCTTTGATAAAGTAATGAGAGGGATAATGTACCTGAGACATATTACAAGGAAAAAATAAGCCACAGTTTCTGTCAGATTTCTGAAAAAGAGGTAGGAATGATCTGCCAATTGTGTTTCATTACGGCCCTAATGAACCACTGATTTGAAACTTTTTCATTCCAATTCAGTCCAACTCCATGAACACAAGATCACAGTTAATCTAATTCTCTGAACTCCTTTTTTTTTGCTATCTTTCCAAAACACTCCTATTCATCAATAGCAACCTAAAGCTTTATCTTTAACAATTGTGAGTGAAATGAGTGCCCTCCTATTAATGTATTCTTGGATTGCTTACATGTAACAGCAAGAGTAACCATAAAGAAAACACATACAGTGTGAAAACACAGGATCATCATGATCATTCTTCAGTATCATTTTTCTTAGTAAATTCTGAAATAAGAAAAAAGATATCCTTGTATTATTCTGAATACTGGCTTTTTCAGTAAAGGAAAATCAGAAATTTAACCTTGTCAATGCTTATTGTGGAATAAATTCATATAATTTAACTCAATTCAAATGTTAAGTCTGTCCTTAAAATGTTTTGGCTTTTGGAAACGTCTCCCCCTTATATCATTGGCTGAAAGCAACTCATCACAAATTGTGAGACATCATAAATACATATACAACTTAACACATGAAAGAGGGAAGAAATCTGTCAGAAACCTGAGATCAGGGTTTATCCTTTGAGTCTCTATGTACTAGCTTTCTGAATGATTGTCCCTTAGCAAAGACCACAAAATCCAAACCCTGAATAGGAAGGCAAACGTGAATTCTGTGTCAGAACTAAACAGCACTAGGGAACACTTTAAAAATATACACATGAAGTTCTCACTACAGAGACCCTCCCTGGTTTTTGGTTCAGAATTTGACTCAGAAAAAAATCTCTAGTGTAGTAGAATTCTAGAGAAAGGTATTGTTTCTATCATATGATATTTTTAGGAGCTATACTAAGGACACAATATTTGTAACTTAGTCAAAGTTGAGATAGTGACATCTAGTTTCCCAGAATGACAGTAAGAGATAATAGAGGCATTAAGTTTGTATATCTGTTCAGATTTTCTTATTTTCAGCATGAGGAAGTTTTCCAGGTTCTAGTGACCAACCCAGAAATATTGGTGACAAGTGGAACACCGCAGTGGCAAACGTGTCACTTCCAGTCCCTTGTTGAATTCCATTCACTTAAGTGTTCTGAACAATCCAAATTCACAGACAGCAGATTTCTGTGCTTATAAAGTCACTTTGTTCTATTTGCTTAAGGAATTTAATTTTCTGTGATATTTCACCTTGTAATCAGTTTTTGTGGACCCTCCTTGTACCATTATGCTACCCTTTCAAAAGTTTTCATTCCATTGAATGTCCAGTGTCTGCCCTCTACTTTAGACTATCTGAAATGGCCCATTTAGTTTTATTTTATTCTGGTCATGCTTCCTTAAGTTGTCATTATTAATTTAAAATTAATGTCTTCTGTCAACAGCAGAGAAGCAGCAGGATGCAGCATTGTTTTTTGAGTTGGAAGCTCTGTGGTGCTCTGTGTCTATGGTCAAGTCACTTTACCTCTCTGAACCCATCGTAACTAATGAAAATGATGGCCCTGGGGGAATGCTCTCTTCTCTCTCTGACAATTCTAAAATATCTAGTTTTAATCTACAATATTCACAAACATATTTTCCATGTTGTGAAGGCAAGAACACAGCAGGAAAGTGGAGGGAGGTGGCGAGTATCAAGCCTTAGTGGTACCCTTTCAGACACCATGTTTTATGTGGTCTTTCATGGTTTGCTGTTCTATCATGTTAGTACTCTGTCCAAGTCCTCCTTTCTTCTACTTTACAATTCTTCAGGAAAAATAAAAAGAAAGCAGAGTGGAACTTAGTCTGAATTATGACCGAAAAGCAGCCACTATTTAAGAGCAAAATCCTTTCATATGTATGTATATGCAGTTCAGTGATCCAACTTTAGCTACACTTGCTGAACCAAGATAATGAAACAGAGACGAGAAAGAACCAGTTAAAACAGTGACTGCCAGGCATCCCTCCCAAGTGAACAAATGGCTGTGGGTGACAAGAGTGCCACTTCCCTCAGTTTCCTCGTGCTCCGTATAATGTGAGCAACTTGACACGCTGAGTGTGCTTCAGCGGTTGTTCTGACTCTGCCTGGATGCTGCCTGGAACATTCACTTTCTTATTATTTACTCTCATCTTATTTACTTAAGATGTTATACCACCATAGGTTTCACAAATATAAAACAAAGATAAAATAAAAATCAGTTTATCATAAAGAAAATTCTGCACTTCCCATAAAATCTATTCTCTAGAAGCAATAATCCAAGTTATAAGAATGAAGCCAAAGAAATAAAACTGTTTAATTCCTTAAAATGAAACCAAGCACCTCTTTGTTTTGTTAGTGACACAATGATTTGCATTATTATTTGTGTTGTATTATTATTATTACTACTTGTAGTCGTTTTCTTCACACACACACACACACTTGAATTGACTGTCCTCGCCTCTAAGTGACTTACTCTTCTGAAATTGTTTCTTAATAATTTAGCCAAGTGCAAGTGTATGTAACTGGTTAAAGTGCAATGACAGACTCCCTCTCAAAGAAAATGTTATAATAGTTCCTTTCTTAAAGTTGATTTTTGAGGGAAAGCCAAATGTTCTGGAAAGCTTTGGGGTGCCTGTGGAAACTCTAACACATTTAAAATGTGTGTTAGAGATCAGTTTTCTTATTCTCCTACACAAGCCAGTCATCAAACCCAGAAGACCAGAGGGCAAAAAGAGGGGTTTTAGCTGTCTTGACAATCATTCTGCATATGTCATTATTATCATCTTCACTGTGATTCTGTCAAGAAATGAAAACACTGAGTATGTTTACACTTGGAAATATAATAAAAATGTTTTCCCTCTTTATCTTACTTAATAATTTTCTAAAAACTATATTTTTACTTTTCAAAATGAAAAGTTACAATGTATCATAGTTCACAGTGGAGGAATTTTCCTGTTAAGTATTATTGAAAGAATTATGAAAGAAAAAGAGCCAGCGAGCTTCACCAAGCCATAGTTTCTAGAATCCTTTGGGACATAAAATATATAGGGCATTTTATACATCTAGTTTTGTCAGCAGAGCTTAGAATGACACCATATGTCCATATGCAAATGACACTAAAATGTTCACTAAATACTAATTATGAAATCTTTGGGCCTCCTTCAGAAAACTTCATGTCACTCCTCCCTACAGTATGAAATTTTCATTGTCCATATAGCACACACTTTCCTATCTAAAAATACAAGTTCTTGAATTAATAAGGACCATATGCATGTAGTCACCAACAAGTATGCTGTTAAGTAGACAAAGGAAATGTGGCCGGGCCTTGTCCTTTAAAGATATGAAGGAAGCAGATGACTCGACAGCCATGTCAGCACAAAGTGGTCAGTCCCACACAGGGAGAGATCACCAGCTGACCAATCCAGTTTGGCTTCCACTCTCTAAGACTAAGTGCTGCCATTGGAGTTGAACTTAACTGTGTCAGATTTTTGATTGATGGCTTTGAACACTTAGGCAGCGTCTATATGTAACACACTGAGTCGTGGCCACTTTTGCAATCACTACTAATAATCTTTGTTAAAATAATCATAGGTTAATTTATATCTGCCATTGAGATAACAAGAGACCATTTGAATGGATTAGCTTTTTTCCATCCTTTTGTATATTTTGTTTGGTATTCAAACATTATGATCCAGGCATGTATTCTCCTGGAAATAATTTTTAAAAAATCTTGCATATCCTTCAGAAAAACAACAGAAGTAATGTGATGCTAATTTAACATACATTCCAAATAACAATAATAATCACACAATCAGTGTTCCCCAAAATGCACTGATTGAACCTGTTAATGAAATGTGGGTTATTTTATTAATCTCACTTATGACTTGGATCTATTCATAGTTGGTGAGACAGTTATATTATAGGCCTAGAATATGCCTGATCCACTGACATTATCGGTAGGTATGAAAGGCATTGTGGTATTAAGCTAGAGTAGAAACAAAGAAAAGCTAACAAGAAAGAAAACATCTACCCCATAGTGAGCCACAGTGAAGAAACTTTAAGCAGCCTAGAAGGAGAGGACACTAAACAGCACTTTTAAATCTTGTAGGTGTTCAGAAAACACATATGGAGGTGGCTTACCTTGTCATGGAGCAATTAGAGATAATCAGTTTTTTAAAAATGAGTATTCTGTATACCTACAAACACAGCAGGTTCATCTGCAGTGACCATTTGAATTAAACAGACAAATGAAAACTGCTCTGAATTTCAGGCCCTGACCTGACCATCTCAGGAATTCAAAGTGCTCTCGGATAGGCAGCCAGCCAGACAACACCCTTTCAGACAGCACCAGCTTCCAAAATAGCAGTGCTGACCGTGAACCAAAGATATTTTACGTGACTACAAAAATACTGTGTCACGTCAGCCTTCATCTGTGCTCCCTCATCTAGACACAGTTGCATTTTCTAGTTCACTTTTTAAAATTAATTAGCATATCAACCCTTCACCTAAAAAAAAGCATATTTTAAAAAATCAGAAAATATTTTATCACAGGTAGAGAAGGAAAACCTTTATATTTCTCCTGGTTCATGATGTTGGCTTTCTTCAACTTAAAAAATTTTTTATTGTCAATCCATTGCAGTTGTCCCAGTTTTTCCCTCGTTGCCCAGCCCTGCCCCACCCCACCCCTAGCCCCGGTTTTCTTTAACTTTATACCATGGAATTTGAAGAGCAGTTTGTAATCACTAGTATGTGTTGATATTTAGAGTCCATTTCAGGAGCCAAATCAGACATGGCCACGTAGCGACCCCAGGTATGTGTCTTCTTCATCAGGTGGTTGTAGCAATTCAGGTAGATAGAAAATACATTTTAGTGTTTCTAATAGTAATTACCAGAAAGCAATGCTTTTGACTTAATGAAAAACACTCTGAAGGAGGGGGAAGTTTGGCTCAGTAACATTGCTTCAAGGGAAAATGCTCAAGCTACATGTGATCTTAAATAATCTATTCAGTAACGCCATTTCATCTTCTCTCATCTATGGCATCTTTTCGTAAACAAGGCTGAGAGAACATAATTAATGCTGACAGAATGTGGTTATATTAACTAAAATAGCACTGTTGTCAATGTGGTAACTCTAAGATAGAGAGATTATGGGTAGATAGATGGAATCATATACATACATATTTCCCAAGTAAGAACTCCAAGTAGTTTATTAGTTATACATAGTTGTAAAATATTCCATTTGTTGGGGCTCTATTTACAGTTCATCCTGACAGGGAGAGCATGTAAGGGTATTTCACCAGATAAAAAATATTCTTAGTGATTGATTTTGAACCAAAGCCATACCAATTGTTCTAGATGACAGCTTAACTTTATAAATCTTGCCAGAGGTTCACAGATCTTGGAACCTCTGACTTGTCATCTAGATTAAAAAGCAAAGGTTCACTGTGCAGTTCACTTCTACTAGAGAGAAACAAACTGACATCCTAAGCAGTACTGATAATATTTGGCAAGGGCCAGTTGTCTTGTGATTTTATTGATCTGGTAAACTGAGGCACAGAGGCCAACTCAAGAGCTCTTATAGGAATTAGGTGTTTTAAGCACACTGTCCTATGTATAGAAAGCACACACACACACACACACACACACACACACACACACACAAACAGAAACTGAAAGTTATAAACTTACAATAATTTTTACTCCTAATGAAGATAAACTAGGTTAGTTAATTTGTAATAATCCATGTGTACAAAGAAGATGGTGTTTATTGGGTTTATCAACAGCAGCATTTCAAGATATTTTTACTAAAATATTAAAACAGACAATGAAATATTTCACTCATTCTCACTAGCTCTCTTCACATCAACACATAAAGCTGCTGTGAATTTTTAATGATATTTATTCCAAGTTAATATTTAAATAATTGGCTTACATGTTACCTACAGTTAGTAAGAAGCATTGTTTCCAAACTGATCATTTGTCGGGGTTAGTGGTAGGTGGCCATAAGAGATTTTGAAATTGTGTTTAAACCAGTTAAGACTTTAAATTGGAAGGTTATGTCAGAGGACATTTATTGGCTTTATATCTTCTGATTTCCGGAAAAACAAAAACAAAAACTTACTCATATTTGCTCCTATCTTTTATATTACAGGTTACCTTGCCTAATCATTTTCTGGTTCCCTGCATATATATTTTTGAATCTTTCATACTTCTTTCTAAATTCCGGGCACATGAGCCCTCCCCTTTCCTCATCCTGTAGACCTAGGAGTGGTAACATTTTCCTACTTGTTTAGGTCCTTGCCTCCCTAACCACTCCTTACTTGTTCACTTTCCCCAGCCCATGTCCCACAAAGAGTCTCCTCATTAAATTCTTTTTAATTGATCCTTTTGAGTTCCATCTCATGCATGCTGGGACATTGAAAGATACCCAAGCTTTGCCAACTCATGGAGAAGCATATTTTCACACTGTGATCTGATGGATGCCTCAAAGCTTTCTCTCTCTCAAAATCGCATTCAGCTGCCATCAGGCCTCAAGCATTCATGTATGTATTTGTGTTGAATCATCTATATAAAGCTCTTACTGAAGTGCAGATATCCTTCCAAAGGATAGCACGTAGTTTTTTTATTAATATTCTAAGATTAATGAGCTTAACAGAGTAGTCCACCACCAATTATGCCCAAGAGACAGGTCATTTTGATGAGACAGATTGAAAGATAATAAAAACATATTTAATTGTAAAAGGACAGCAGATCTAGATAGGAAGCAAATGTGATTAGCAATAACTCCTCCCAAGAAAGTATTAAAATAACCCATAAGCAGAAAAAAGACAACCCCTCAGAAAACAAGGTCAAATTTTGCTCACCAAGAATTACTGTTTTAGATATAGAAAGAATGGCAGTTCATCCTCCCTCCCTGTTTCGTCTTCTTATAGTCACTGAGAAATTTTATTCTGAGAGTAACACTAGTTTACCTAAAATTTTTAATGTAAACATCAGCTTAATCTTGAGAATTTTAAAGTATTGTTGATTAAATATTAATAGGACATTGATGATGCAACACACTATTTCTATCTCCAAAAAATGATAAATGGTTCCTGTCTCATAACATAATATTATAATGATGACTAATGATCTTTAGTGATAAATATGACATTATATTTACTGAATAGTTGGGACTTATGGTCAGCGACCAATAAAATCGTGCTGTGCTAAAGAGATGCAACATGTCTCCTATCATCAGAAAATTATAATTTCTGGCAATAAGCAGTGCAAAGATACTACAGAAAATCTTAGAAAAATGTATATAGATGTTATAAAATTCACATGTAATATTATTCTAAGAGAAAAATGTATCTTTAAAGGCCTATATTAATGAAATGATTTCTCTGGATTTGCAAGGTGCGTTCAAAGATAAACATACATTTTCGGCTGGAATGGGTAATCCTATGCACCACCCTGAGAGGGCAAGATTTCACTCCACAATACTCTATTATACAGGCTATTTTCAATAATGAAGTAATGACATTTTCAACAGTTCCCTTAGGAAATTCTTTCAATATATAAGATTATTCCTTGCTTTTGTAGAGTAATTTTTCTCTATATACAACTGAGTTAAAGCAATGAATTGCAGGGTGGAATTCTATATATAATATAATATGGCATATTAGCCTCTTTTAAAATCACCCTTTCCCCTTAACTTTGTGAAAAGTAATTTTATCTCTTACAGTTGTAAACCAACCTACTTATAGAGAGTCTAAACTACTTTTAAGTTTTTAATACATTTCATGATCAACTTAATTTTTTTCTATTCTCCCATTTAGCAGGGCATACCTGTAACAAAAAAGGGGCTAAATCCTGCACAGTTATCTGTATCTCATTAGAGCTCTGCTTCAGAATAATTGCTGATAATTACTTTGGTGTCTTTAGGCCTTAAAGAATTATTTTGTTATGGGTCCTGTGAATATGGACTTCTAAAGACATCTAAAGAGCTCTCTTGGTTAAAGGAATTACAAACTTCCGGGCATAATTACGTAGTTTGCTGGGATATAGGAAGTAACCTAATTATGTCTCACTTTAGAATATTCCACTTGCCTCAGCTTTCAAGAAAGCACATAGGTCATTTTGCCTTTATTAATACATTTAAACATTGTAAATATTATCTGAGGGAAATTTTATGCTATGAACTCTTAGCAGTGTTTTAATGTATAAGTAAGAACTGATTACTAACTGTTTTTTAATTTAAATTGTCATGTAATGTTTTACATATATTTTTATGTTAGCTCACTGATTTTGGGCTCAGTGCAAACTTTATCTTTCCTTTCAAAGTATGTCTAGTAATTATGTACAATGTTTCAGGTTTTGGTTTCAGGTATTGAGGATGCAATTGTCAAAAAGCAAATTACTTGGCTCTGTGATGCTTACATTCTGATATGAGAGCTACACTACTAACACCTAAATATAGTATGTTACCACAGCAGAAGGGGGAGTGCAGCAGGGCCGGAGATAGAAGTGAAGGAAGATGAAATCAAAGAGCTGCACAGAAGCTAGATCATGTGAGGCTCCCTGAGCCACGGGAAAGTGTGGCTTTTAATCCGATGTAATTGGAAGGAAAGGAGTGAGGTGGTCTGCTGTAAATGTGCTAGTTCACATAGTCCCCAAATATATACATATACCCTAGTCCTCAGAACATGTGACTATGGCAAACGGGATTTTGCAGATGTAATTAAGTTAAGGACTTTGCTATGGGGAGATTATCATGGATTATCCACGTGTGTGCAGTGCTGTCTCAGTGGTCCTTGTGAAAAGAATGTAGGAAGAGTTGGAGGAGAGGGTGATATGGTAAGAAAAGTGGGGATTGGAGTAATGCTCTTTGAAGTTGGAGGAAATACATAGAAGCCAAGGGATACAAATGGCCTCTAGAAGCTGGGGTGAGGAGGAAGGAATGGATTCTCACCTCAGAGTTTTCAGAAGAAACGATCCCTGTTGACACCTTCACTTTAACCCAATAAAATTGATGTGAGATACGACTTCTGGAACTATAAGAGAGTAAGTGGATATTGTTTCAAGCCACTAAGTTTGTGGTAATTTCTTATAGCAGCAATAGGAATCTAATGTTAGTGTATTAGTTACATACTTAAAATTAACAAATATAGTTATGAACTGGAGAATAGAATGTTAAAAGAATTAAAGGAGGGAGTTCTATTAGGAAATAATAGTGGCTCAGGCTG